TTGTGCTCTGCCTAGTGCATGAAGCATGAAGGCTTAGTGTCCACGTAGATAGTGTGATTTAGGAGGGCCGACAGGTAGAAAGCGGCCCCATGTCCTCGTAACTGTGCTCGAGAGCTGGGCGCGCCGGGGCGCCTCACGAGCATGTCAGAGAGCCGACGGGCCTCGGGAGTGCAGGAGCAGAGAGAGTTCCCGCTGGTGTGGCCGGAGAAACTGTAAGCTGAGACGACACGCTCAGCATACACTGCCAGTGAACACATGTCGCCGTCCGGACGCGGCGGGACACCCTGACCGTTGACGTCACGACCCCTGCAGCGGGGGGGGGGTCGTCTGGCGGCGGCCGTGCTTCCCACGCTGCCGGCCGTGCCATCCGCGCCGTGCCGGACGCTCCGGCCGCTCCATCCGGCCGGCAATGTAGTCGTGGAATGTAGTCGGCGGCGGACTGAGGGGACAGGTGGCTGGTCCGACTGTCCGCGGGCAGTGTGCTGTCCGCAGTGACCCGCTGCGTGTGTTCGGTCCGGGGCAGAGCGGCAGACCCAGAGACCGGCAGACCCAGCCGTCATCGGCAGAGCTGCTCGGCTGCGCGCATACGGCCGTGCGACGCGTACTTGGTAAGGATGTGACTATACCCCGAGTCTGGGTGTTGACCTGTGAAACTAGTTAAGCACGGCCGGTACCGCCGGTTCTTTTTGGTGCTACGGTACACTAATCAATCTATGTGAGAGTGTTTTGGCAAGGATTTCGGATCATTTGGCGAGAGCGGGCCAGAAGTTTAAGCAGAGTTAAAGCAGCATTTGTGTTACTTTCTTTGTCAGAGAATATATGGCGATGAACGGAGGTGGACTTGTCACCTTTTTAACTGCGTAGCAACTAGATTTGATATTTGTCTGACTGCTGGCTGTCTAGCGCTTTTATCCTTTTAGTATTAGGAGCTGTGCGTGGTATATCTCGGCGCGCTGCATGTTTGTTTGCTGCATCCGAATGCCTATGTTCAACTGCAAAGCATTCCAACTCGTAGCAACGCAAGCGCAAACGCGTTACCTGCCTACCATAAGAACCAGTCCATGTTATCTATACTTATTATCGCCTTACAAACTATGTGTAATGGCTTTAACGGTCCAAATGGTAACGCTTGCTTCCAGAGTTATTCCCTGATAGGCATCAATCTGGTTTCTCCCGGCTAAAAATGCATGACGTCGGCTTGCAATCGGGTCTCATCGAAATTAATTTTAAGATGATGGATGTTGCACATCGTTCGTGGGATTAACGTATTAGCTCACCTCAGTATACAATGGGGCGCAGCAAATTGGCCATATCCGGCTGAGGATGGCAGGTATATAGTGCATATTTCAGCATACTCTACGGTGCCGCCCTGTGACTGTCGTGGGCCGGCCGGTCCGGCGCGGCCCACGGGCCGGGTTCCGTGCCTGGGCCGCATTTCGGCGCTGATTTTCCTGTCATTGCTGTTGGCTGTCTGGCGCTTTTTGTCCTGTATTAGGAGCCGGGCGCGATATATCTCGGACGCGTGTGACTGGACCGGCGTCACCGGTCGACAGCCGGGGCCATTTTTAACGCCTCAGCCCGCGCCGGCCGCGGGCACGACAGGGGAGCGGGCCCTCGCGACAACGGAGTGGCACCGTGGGACACGGACCGCGGGGCGTGGTGACGTCACTAGCTGATGTCTGACGTCACTGACGGACCTCTGATGTCACTGACGGATCTCTGACGTCGCTGACTGATGCCTGACGTGGACACATGGGTGTATTGGCTGCCCAGTGCCCACCGCCCGCCACTCCTTGGATCAGTACTTGGACATTTCAGTTCTCTAAGCGGCTCGGCCGTGTAGTGGATAGCATACGATCAAACGTCACCAAACCCCCACCGGCATTCCTGAGATTAATGCAATTGAGCGTGGGATAGGATTAGGCGGTGACGTCGGATGTGAATATGCTAACATATTTGACGGGACTCAATTGAGCCGATATTGTCCGCTGTAAGTCGCGTGAACCATGTATTGCGACAGGTTCGGCGGGTGGTTTGACGTGCGTTCCATTGTTGAGTCGTGCCGGACAGGGCTGAAGCGTTAGTGTAGTGGTGTCTCTCTGCAAAGGATGTCGGTAAGGTATGTCACGGTGTGCAATCCATTGAAAGGTGCTGTGCGCCTGTGTGGATTAGCCTGCACTCCCGGGCGGATCAGTCTGCAGTCGCTGCCCGCCATCGGCCCCAGTTATGTCCGATGGGGAGGGCCGAGGGGTGCCGGCGGAAAGTAGCCGTCCTTGCAGCGTCGACTCTGCTCGCCTGTCCCGTCCCAGTCCCGCCGACGTCGATAGCTGTCCATTCAGTAACCGAGTGGCGTCGGCTCATGTCGCCAGGCCGACACGCTAACGGGACGGATCGCTCAGTTGATAAGTCCGCCACTGGGAAAAATGTTTTATTGGAACCCATATACGACCAGTGTCCCGTAAGCCAGCAGTTCAATCAAGTTCCCACGTTCTCAAATGCCACTGCAGTTGCTTGATTGGTATTTTGATAGCCAATGATGAATGTCATGCCGTTAGATATAGGAGGGATTATGGGGAAGAGAGTATTAACCGCAAGGTTACTAATTACAATACAACCTTAACGGTGCACCTACTAGAATAAGTGCGACAAAAATACACATAATGTGTATAGGAAAACAAGCTTGTTGTTTCGAAACGTATCGCATACACCTTGCACAATTGCACATTGCACATTATATCGATTAGCCGCAAGTTAAATTGATCAGACGCATGCTGGATAGTGGATAGCACATTATTGCAACAACACTCCTTTTCTGCCGCTCTCCTTTCTTTGGTCCTCATGATGATCCCTCCGACAGACTGCCGTCTGTGGTTGGATCCGATCCCCTGATACGCGTCCCATCGGTCAGTCACTGACTCAGGCTCTGGTCCCCTGCCCTCTAGCTGACCCGACCCGACCCGTCGCGGCAGTCCCGGTCGTCGTCAAACGGCCGCTCGGTCGCCGGTCAAGGTTGGCAGTTGTGGGCCTACGCCGGTTCCACCCTCTCTGTTGTGTGTTTGTTTTTCGTGACCTCGGCGGCACAGCCTGCACGCTCGGCCTGGCGGGTGTCCTCGACGGGGACACATCTCACGTTCTGAATGGACATCCCCCGCAGTGGTGGTCCAAACTGGCTGGCCAGAATGCATGTCGAGGCCGAGTGACAAACAAGATGGGCATACAATGATTGGACTCGGTATGCACTCCTTCCTCCTCTCATACCTCTCTGCCCCTCTCCTCGCGGTCTTGCCTCCGTCCTCTCCCCTGTCGAGGCTGTTCCGTGCGCGGCGCTGTCATTTCTGAAGGCTGCCGCTGGGTTTTTGTCGGCTCGGACGCGGCGCTAGGCATGTTATGACGCCCTGGGAGCGAGCTGCTCCGTGTCGGTTCGTTAGTGGACCTGCCGGACGGCTCGCAGCCGCCGTGGGATAGCAGTCGCGCCACTCCGGACCGGCCGGGACCTCCGTGCAGAGGCCGGTGCACGCGGCTCGTCCGCGGCGTGCGGCCAGCGTTTTTCGGCCGGCGCCCGGCGGCCTGTGTACACAGACTCGGCTTCTGTTGTGAGAGCGGCACGCCGGGACATTTTTGCCGTGATGACGTAACGCCCGAACAAGCACACACCGGCGCTTGGTGTCGAGCCAAGTGTATGCAGCTATTCATACGCGGGCGGCATTCATGAGGCTCTGGGCGGGTCACGCCACCCGGCTAGGCGGGCTGGTGAACTGACCTCGACCCGTCTCGGAGCGGCGCCACCCCCACTGCATACAACGCCCCGCGAGCGGACGCCACTGACCTCACCGCGAGGACGCTACCGGCGCACTGCCCCGCCGTATCGCCCGGCGAGTTCTGGGTGAAGGAGGCACTCGATGCTTTTTGCCGAGACGTGCTGGTGGGTCACAGAGGCGGACTGTCTTTGTTATGAGTCATCTGATGGCTATCTGACCCGAATCGACAAAATCTGATGCGACCCTCCACTCGAGTTGAGACTGGTTCTCGTATCGCCAGCTGCGGCACATTTTTAAACACATCCGTCTGCTCGGAGTGGCAGCGCGACTTGACGTGTCTCACTTCCTGCACTTAGAAACAGGTGTTGTTGTCATTGTGGTTTTAGCGCGTATCCGACATTTCTACATCAATCTTGGTCACTACTTAAGTGTCGGTGTATGTGTTGGGCATGTTGAAATGTTTTTGTATGCTTGCCATTTTGCCGTTTGGAGAAACGGACATTTGTTTCCGCGCCCGTTTGGTGTCAGCAGCTCCATTCCCTATCCGGTGTAAGCAGCCCCTACATCCGGTCTGTCAGTGGCAGTTCTGATTGCTTCCAGGTTCATATAGTGCAGCCAAGTCTTGAGAGACAGTTGTCTCTGCCTGTGTCAGCGGCCTTTATTATACCGTAGAAGTCCTTCTAGGTATCCCTTCCTCCGCGACGCGACTGTCTGGTCAATGACACCTATTTTCACGGCTCACGTACTTAACCTATGCCGCCTCCCACTTAGTCATATGAGTAAGGTCCCCTTAGGCCAGTCGCTAGTGATGCTGACCTTTTGAAGGTTTAATTGGTATTTCACAAGCCTTTCGAAATTGTCATTAACGAGATAATTCCTAATATTTACCAGTGAAGCCAGTTTGATTATCGACTGACGTTATCCCACTGTAATCTCCTGGGAACCGGAAGACTGTTGGTGGCCGCGGACCACATAAGAGCTCATGTGAATTATGTGTGATTCCTACCGTAGAATGCCTTCTAGGTATCCCTTCCTCCGCGACGCGCCTATCTGGTCAATGACATTCCGTTCAGCTCTGTCTGTCGGATATTCCTGCCTAGTTTATTTGTCCCTGCCTGCCACCAGGGGCAGGCAGGACCCTGTCTTGCCCCGGTGTCGTCCCATGGCTGACCCCGCCGGCCCCTCGTCGGTCCGTGAAAGGCCGCTGTATCTGACGCCCTGTGCGCCCCTCTGCTCTCACAGACGTGGTCGGAGGAGCCCTGTCGGCCGAGCTGCGCCGACCGTTGACCATGGACCCACTCTCTGTACCGGCGCCCTCGCCGCCGTTCGACATGGCCACCGTGGCGGCCGCGCTGCCCGGCCACCCGGGCCTGGTGCGCGCCAGAGCGGACGCAGAGACCGGCCTCGGCGGTCGGATGTCGCCCTCCGTCTACAACCACAAGGTGGGTGGGGTGACGGCGGACTGACAGGGAGTGTGGCGACACTTTAACTGCACTGTAAAAAATATTGACTAGCCCCTCGTCAAATGATTCTCAACGCTAAATGTCGGGGGTACAGACTAGTTTTGCATCCTACTTTTGACACACGCTGCGAGCCCCTGGCTTGTTTTGTGTTCGTCAGATGACAGTTACCAGGTGTCGGTTAGTTTTTACCACGTCCCAAAAATAGCTGGAGCGTTTCTGCCTTGTTTTGGAAGCAGGTCCTCGTTAATGCTGTGTATGGTAACAAAGTACCTAGTAACAATAATAACGAAAAACAATGTCAAAACGAGGGCGGCTTGTTTAGTGACGATGCTCAAAAGAAGCATCGTCTTGTTCCTACTTAACGAATGAAGCTCAAACTAGGTCAAAACTAACGTATTGCTCAACCCATAGTCAGATGACCAGCAGATCCTACGCCGCCCAATCCAGTCATCGAATTTGCCAGCGAATTCGTTTGAAGACCATCATATTATTAAATATCGGTGGTCTTCAAACGAAATCCCTTACCAGTTTGATGACGAATTCATCCGGCCCATTCCAAAAACGCTCAAGATAAAATGAAAGTGTATTTCTGAAATAATATGCTTTCTTGCAATGCACCTTTCGTATATCAAGCGAATCTTTCACTTCCAGCGCCCGTTTACAGTTATCAATCGAATCAGAAGCATGCACATACCTATCGATAGATCTGAACCTAAGAACACAGACGACATTTTGTAGAGTACCTGTCTGAGCCTATGCAGTGGAGCCCGTGAGCCGCCCAACCGCAGCTGCCTCATGAACTTGATGATAGGTCTGAACCTCAGATTGGCCAGAGCTTGGCCGTCAATAACCAGCTTATTTATATCCACAGTTGTAGTGACTTAGGGTTTGGAATTTGCCAAACCTAAGTTTTGATTACCAAGAGAAGTTTTGTACTTCTTGCACTTGCCCTTTCTTCATAACTTTGGCGGAAATCGTCGTAGTGAAACTTCAGTGTTCCGTTAGCTGTCGGTTCTTGAGAGAGTTGGCCAGGCCGGACACCGGGGGCGGCTCCACAACTTTCGAAAAATTAAACCTAAGTCCTATTGCACTGCATGGAGAGCAATTCATTTAAAATCGCTCTTGTTTCGCCCCCCCCCCCCCCCTCGACAACTTTGCAAACGTCTCTGCGCGATTTGGTTGAGAATAATGGCTTATGGCAAGTTATTGAATCAGAACGTCGATCACTGCAGGTCATATATCGGCAAGCAATTCTTCATAACTAGACACTGCACAAATGGAAACGATACAGGTTTGCCCAGTGATAAACACTCGCACTGCACAGACTCGCGCACCCCCGACCGAACGCGGCACGGCACAGCGCAACAGCTGGCGCCGGGAAGCCGGGAACGCATTAAGTGAAGGATTCACAGGTGCGCAACTTTATTGCGAACAATAAAAACCTACCGCAAACGATTAAAAAAAAAAAGTTTTAGGGCAATCGGAAATACAAATGTATTGACTTATAGAAATAAAATTGTCATTCACCTTCCAAATAACCCAACAATTTATTTGCCGTAAAAAGTGTCTGGAAATGGAAAGTTGCTAACATGATTCAGCAAGTAGGGAAACGCAGCCGCTACCTGGCGAATAATCTCAGGCTGGTTTAGTGACAAGTGCATTGCTACGGCTTGTTCCTCAACCTTCACAGATTACTATGACAAAACTACCCCTAGTATTTTGATCATCCTGAGGCTGGCTTTCACCTAATAATTTGATGAGGGTCTTCCTCGTTTCGGATTGAGGCGAAAACAAACGTCAAACAACCTTGATAGTTAATTCAGCACTTCAAAACAAAGGTACACCTAGGGTATCATTACAATACCGGATCATAACGATCTGGATAGTTCTCAGCCTGTAAGCTAACTAAGCGGTAACTAGTCAAGTGGTAGGTACCGGAAGCATTGACAACCTGGTGACTGTTTCGAGACCCTTGTTTTGACACATAGCTCGTCAATATTTTTTACAGTGTGGGTCTTCGGGTGGGGCGACGGCGGGCTGACTTGGAGTGGGGCGACTGCGGGCCGAGTCGGGCTCTGCATTAGGACTCTATGTGATGGGGAGGTGGCTAGGTGATGAGTATCGATCTGGCTGACTGGTCTTCTACATGGTGATAGAGACGTGAAGCCCGAGGACTGGCCTGACGAACAGGACTCATTCTCGATGATCGTTCCGATTGCTGTCTCCCTTCAAGTCTCCGCCTCCTGTGCTGTCTGTTTCTTTGTGATTGTTTCTACTTTCTACCCTCTCGTCGTGTTCCGTCTGTCCTTCGCTCCGTTAGCCGCGTGCAGCGGTGCCCACCTATGGTCGCCGCTCTGAGAGCGGTTTTGCCGAGTCAGCGGCCGTTCGGACTCTGTTCGGACCGGACTCTCCCGCACCCTCGATGCCGAGTCACGACCGGCCACTGTCCGTCGAGTGCCTTGTTGACCGGCACCACCCGTCGATGACCTCGACTGGACAACTCGTCTGTGATGACTCTCAGTGACCTTTGGTGACCCCAGGGGTCCGTCCGCTGGCCCGTCTGACCTCTGTGTCTGTCTGTGTCTCCAGCTGGTGCCGGCGGCCCACGGGCGCGCCTCCCCCGCCTACGACCTGGGCTACCACACGCTGGTGGCGCGGCCGTCGGCGCCCTCCCCGCGGCAGCAGCCGTCGCCGTGGGGCGGCGAGCCTCCCCAGACGGCCGCCTGCTACCCGGCCGCTGCCATGCCCTCGTTCAGCGTGCGCGAGCCGCCGCGGCCACCGCAGCTGCCCGAGCCGCCCTCCAGCAACGAGCTCATCCTCACCATGTTCAAGGGCAAGCGGACACATAAACCGGCCCCGTTTGACCGGCTTCCGGATGAGCTGATCCTGCACATCTTCTCGTACCTGTCCACCAACGAACTGTGCTTCTGCGCGCGCGTCTGCCGGCGCTGGTACTTCCTCGTCTGGGAGCCGCAGCTGTGGACCAGCATCACGCTGACGGGCGAGTCGACCGGCGCCGACCGGGCGCTCCGGCAGATCGTCAAGCTGCTCTGCCGAGACACGCCAGGCACGCTGTGTCACACTGTGGAGCGGGTGGAGCTGAACGGGTGCGCGCGACTCACCGACCGCGGCCTGTCGCTGCTGGCGCGCCGCTGTCCAGAGCTGCGTCACCTGGAACTGCGCGGCTGCGCTAACGTCAGCAACCAGGCGCTGTTCGAGGTGGTCACCAACTGTCCCGGCCTGGAGCACCTCGATGTCACCGGTGAGAGAGGGGGAGAGGAGGGTGCCGCCGGGCGATGGGAGGGTGAGGGCGTGAACGGCAGTGGCACGGGACGGGAGGTTTAAAGGGAGGATAGGAGAGCAGGAGCAGGAGCAATTGAAAAAGGAGAATCGGAGTAGGAGCGGAAATGAGGTTGGAAGGTAGCAGCGGAGGCATGACTATTGACTATAGTAGCGCCACCCTCCAGCGAGCAGTCCAGCTGTAGCGCCCTCTGGTGGCTATGTTTGGAAATTTGTACCGACTGCTGAGACGGTCCATGCTAGGTGACTTGTTCGGCTTACGTCTGTCGGACCAAACAGCTGAGCTGTACTGAGTTCTTTGTCGCGTGCCAAATCTTTGAAAGATGATCGTGCTGTCATTATTGAAAACGATACATTGGTTGTTAACGGAATATTTGCTCTTCAGTCGTAATGTCAAATATCACAGAATGTGGCGAATATTCAAGTGAGTAAAGTATTACGAAGTATGGAAATATTCAATGAAAGAATCAAAAATACGGAGACGCAGCGGAGACATTTGATTCAAAATTAGACCATCGACACTATTGTCAATATCATTTTCGAATTACGTCTAGAGGGACAACCGGGTCAGCTATTGTGCTTCGGCTCTTCATCGCCTTAGCTATACAAAGCTGATCCCACCACTCAGTCATTTCAAATCCAGCCATGACATGGCACTCACTCCTAATAAAGGTCTTTTAACATTACCTTGTTGCACCTCGTGCACAGTGTCAATAATTATGCCGATGGTACCTTGGACAGTGTCTTTAATTATATTTGTATTACCTCGCCACGGTAAAACCGTTCGCGAAATCTAGCTTTTGGACCAATTCCATATGTTATTCATTCTTGCAGCTTTGCTCATGAGTACTAGGCACAAATGTAGCTTTCATTCTTTTAGCTGTACCTACCTATGCTGAGTTGGAATCATCATTCATACCCGTGAGCGGCTGCGCCGCTCCGGGGGCAGACTTATCGCGCCATCGAAAGCGAAGCATGCGTGCAACCAGCCCGCCTGTGTCCTCTGATCGATACATACAGCACAGACTGCCCGACATACACACTACACAGACTGCCCGAGCCGGCTACAGTCACCGAATGTCGCCCCGTCACCCCGAGGGAGCTCCCTGACGGAACGACTGAGCCGTGTCACCCGGCCGTGTCACTGTGTCGGTGTGTCGCTGACACGCCATACCATCGGTGTCACCCATCCGTCTGGGTGTGCCACCGGGTATTCTTCGTTCCAGTGTTCGTTTGTTATCGCCAACAGGTCACTTTTCTGCTCGACTTGCGTTCCTCGTATCAGGCATTTTAAAAGGAAGATCAGCTTTCTGTAGATCAATTAGACCAGCCCACATTTTCCAATTAAATTGCGAATTTCATTTCTTTTAAGAGTTTAATGCTGGATCGATTTTTGCTTTTCCGGGTGTTTTGTGCTGCATGTATTTAGCTAACAGCAGCGGAAATTAAGTACTTGTACACGAGGTTATTTAATACATTAAAAATGATCAAACTATCAGGCGACTCGGATATGCACTTCGTATTTAAGCACTTCTTATGTCACTCGTGTCATGCACTTCAGGTATATCATTTTACGTATGTCGTAACTTACGGTCGTACAGCCTTAGAACTGAGTTTCGGACATCCTGACCGGGAGTTTCAGGGGCCTGTCACGACATTCGGCTTGAGGCTCAGGCTAACGTAACTTGACGTAAACACGATACACAGGGGTCACAAACACACGATGTTAACATAGATGTGATATACGTAACACCCCGATAACAGTGTGCAGACTTTACTGAGGTCTGCGACTGTCTGGATTGGCTAGCGGGACCTTCCGGGCAGTATGTACGCTGCCGTGCATGTCGGTAATTCTGTTCGACCGCGTCGCCTTATACCGACATTGGCCATGTCGAGTAATGATGGTATGCTTCGTAAATTGAGTTTTTATGCACAGGAAGTGCATGACTGGTGGGCAATAACTTGTTCGAAATTTACGGCGATGTGGGTTACATTTGATATTCGTCGCGCCATACATAGACCTCTGTATTAACAGAGGTCTATGGTCGTGCACTATATACAAACCGTTGGTACAACATTACTGGAAAGTAGAAGGTGCAGCACGGAGTAGCATGCGACATTTATGTTTCACCTATTTTCCCGACCTACCATTAAATTTTCCCACATCCGCATTTTCCATTTTCCACATTGTTTTCCACACGTCATATGTGTCCTGTATATGGGTCTGTTTCAGTCGCACTTCCTAACACCTCTAGATTCCTCCAAGATTGCTTCCCTGTTCAAGTGGCAGCTCTAGCCCCTACAAAGCCAAGGAGGGCCCTGCTCCAACCTCCTCTATCTTGCTCTTGGAGGAGTTTAGAGGTGTTTGGAAGTGCGACTGGAACAGACCCATGTACCTTCTCGTCCACCGGCTGACTCCCCCTAACCGCCCTCTTGCAGCAGGCACACGACATCGTCACCGCTGTCCTCCCATCTGACGCCGTCCTCCCTCGGCAGGCTGCCACCGGATCACGTGCATCGACTTCAGCAGCGAGACGCTGGCCGGCTCCGAGCGGCAGCTGTGCCTGCAGTACGTCGACCTGACCGACTGTCACAGTCTGACCGACGCCGGCCTGCAGGTGATCGTGCACAACTGTCCGCAGCTGCAGCACCTCTACATGCGCCGCTGTGATCAGCTCACAGGTGAGCGGCGCACGGACGGCACGGGCGGCACGGGCGGCACGGGCGACATGACGGGCCCCGCACCGACCGCGGGGCGCAGCGGCCTGCCGCCTCAGCCGGGCCCAAGGCATGCACGTTCCGAAGGAGCAGTGCCGGTGTGATAAACCGGAGGAGTTGTAGCGTTTGCAGTGTGGTAGCTTTTCGGAAAACGTTGGCGGTAGATTATTTCTCAGCATTTCGCTACTGTAAATTATGTCGTGTCAGTAGTCGAGCATGGTAGTTATAGTTAGAGTGCAACGTGCTTTTCAATGTCTTAACTGCTGCTTATTCAGCAAGCTTTTGTCGTTCCCGTTTAGCACGAAGAACGGTTTGTCTTAAACTCTCGCTAGAATTGGTGCTTCTTTGCTTTATGTCCAAGGTAAACCAAGCCTGGCAACTGGTTACCCCCCTTCGACTCCGCCTGACACCACGCCTGCACCGCCCCCTCCCTGTCTCCGGCAGACCTGGGAATCCGGCACGTGCCCAGCTACTGCGTCAGTCTGCGCGAGTTCTCCATCTCGGACTGCAGCCGCGTCACCGACTACGGCCTGCACGAGCTGGCCCGCCTCGGGCCCACACTGCGCTACCTCAGCGTGGCCAAGTGCGACCGCGTCTCGGACGCCGGCGTCAAACAGGTGGCGCGCAGCTGCTACAAGCTGCGCTACCTGAACGTGCGCGGCTGTGAGGCCGTCTCTGACGCCTCCATGGAGGTAGTGGCCCGCTGCTGTCAGCGGCTGCGCGCGCTCGACATCGGCAAATGCGACGTCACTGATCACGGCCTGAAGATGCTCTCGCAAAACTGTCCGAACCTGAAGAAGCTGAGCGTAAAGAGCTGCGAGATGATCAGCGACGCCGGCATCAAGTTCATCGCCTACTACTGCCGCGGCCTGCAGCAGCTCAACATCCAGGACTCACCGGTCACACTGGAGGGCTACCGCACCGTGAAAAAGTACTGCAAACGCTGCATCATCGAGCACACAAACCCGGGCTTCTACTGAGCAGCCGCCGCGGCACGGCACAAAACAACCACGTGATATTATTTATTATCAACATAGAGACTGTATTGTACTGAAGTGTGATGTTTTAACCAGCGAGTGTCTCGTTTTTGCCGCCCTGCCCAGCGGGTGACGGCGCCCGGGTGCCTTTTTATCGATGACGTGTCATAGATATGTGAATGCCAAATATTTGTACATATTTTGCTTCAAGTATATGTGTTGTTATTTTTCTGAAATTAGCCTTTACACATTTGAATGAAAAAAAATGAGTCCAATATACATGATGTATTTGTTTGTTTGTTTCTTGTTACACGCTGAATTCCTCCGCTCACTACCGTAAACAAATTCGTTGTTTACGGATGAAACATATGTACTAATCAATAAAAGTGACACATGAGCTGTATGAAATGAATGAACTAAACGCTGTTCCTTATCTGTTGAGTGGTAAGCTACGATCGGAAAGTCACACTGAACAGGACACAGCAACGCTATACACCACCCTACTAACGTCCTTTGCGTTATGTTGCTATGTCCTTTCCGTTACATCCTCCATAGATCGCCATACATGTTAACAGACGTCGGCCTATCCTACGTCATGTTCTTCCCACCTACATTCACAGAGGAATTTATATAACTCTAAAATTGAACGTGCCGCAGGGCAGTGGTGACACAGTTATCACTTGTTCAGCGTGTGCCGTTCTCGCTGTCCCATCATGCGCTAGCTGGATGGGACAGCAGGATGGGAGTAGGAAACTATAGGTTGACAGGACTATCAACTTCATTATTTTGCGCCGCACGCAGTAAAGCTCCCAAGAACACCTTTCTGTCCAGGTGCATCCAAATGGAAAAGGCGCTGTTAGGCAGTGAAATGAATGCCGAAGAAGTATGAACTAACAAGGAGTGCATTTAATTCCGAGAGTGCTGTAGCTAGTTCCGCTCCAAGCTTTAAAGGGTCCGTTACCGTGCGTTTCATTCCGGTTTTACCTATACGTTTGTGTGAATCTCGTAGATACACAAACTAGCATTTAGGTATATAATGCCGTGCTATCAGCTACTAATTGAAACTTGCATAATATGTGACAGGGACAGATAAAAGGAGGAAAAGAGAACAGAAAGCAAAATATGTAGAGCGTCTTCTACTGTCCCTCCTTAATCCAGACCTGCATAGTGTGAGGATGTTCAGCGCCATTGGCCCAGCGACGGTAGGTGATTGGGGAGCTTCTCATGATGCCACCGGCATGAATGTAAGATTTGTCATTCATGTGATAGACGATGCCGTTTTGGTTCAACATGTAGGGGAACACCACCGAACCTGTCCAAAAGCTGAAGCCGCTGCCGGCCGGCTCGGCCGCGTAGGGCACACTGACGGGCGTGGTTCCGAGCAGACTCTGGGCTCGCGGCGCCGAGAACAGCACGCCCTTCTCCGGAGCTGCAGGGACACAGTGCGATAAAACAGTGAAATTCATCCACTCGTCAATGATACAGCGATTGGCGATAAGCCCGAAGCCGTAAGCCCTGAGTCGATTCAGTATTACTCAAATTTATATGAATATGAATAGGAATACTGGAATAGGTACAGTGGAATCCGCTTCATAAATCCACCTTGGTGACAAGATGTTTTGGATTTATTAGCCTTCGCCCCAGTGTGGGGGGGGGGGACATATGTTACCACCCTGTCGCGTTTTTTGCGTGTGAATAAAAAACCGCGGCGCGTAACGCCGCGCCGCTTGGGGTAGCATTTGGTACATCAATTTTGGACAATGTGTGAAAATTTTGACCCCAGGTCATGTCAGGTCAGGTCACCAGGTCAAGTTAACTGACCAAGCCTAAAAACAAGTTTGCAATCATGTCCAGCCTGCAGTGTTTGTCAGAAAGATTTTAAACTTGGTGGATTGCATGCTGGTATGGGCGCCTACAATTTGCATATCTCGGATTTTTTATATTCGTGACCTAAGGTCAGGTCAGTGGCGTGACCTTTCCATTACAAGTCAAGGGAGAAAAATGAAAATGCCTCTAGATCCGTGTGTACGCATAGGAACAGTCCAAATATTTCAGAATCACAATGATTTAGACCACTCGTGATGGCCAAGGTGTCATTTTTGCTGATAGCCTCTAGAAAGGTCATCCGAGGTCATTTGAGGCTACAAACAGTTTTTTGCCAATAACTCGCGATTGGAAAAAGATAGAACGCTGGAGATGGTCTCATTGTGTTTGTCTTGTTGAGACGCATCGACTGATATGCAACATGACCTTTTCCTGTCAGGTCATGACCTTGACCTGAGGTCAAATTTTCAAGTTGACCTTTCAAGGTCAAATTATAGTTCATTCGACGCGTCTCGGCGAGGGGAACACGATTCTGGCAATAGAAATGTCGTGGCTTTTTGTAGTCGAAAGTTAATGTCGAAAAACGCTTTTGGTAAAAACAGCTATTTTTGGAGTTTTTGCCCTCTGGAGGCTAAACCGTTGACCTGAGGTCAATTTTGATAATGACCTTATCAAAAGAAGAGTTCAAAAGCTATCGATTGCTTTTCCATGCGTTTTCTATCTACCATAGTTCTTGAGATAGCGGCATGTTTTCTGAAAAATATAATGACAATTGGCAAATTTTGACCTTTGATGACCTCTGGTGACCCCAATATTGCTCTAAGGTGAAAAATGCCTGAAATACTTTCAAACGTACGCATTGAGAGCTATCGACTTCTTTTTACCGCGTCTTTCTAGCTGTGAAACTATTTTTTTTCTCTCTATACGTTGTTACCGTGTTACGTTCCTTATTTCTATCATGCTACGGTTGGGATTACTGTTGGTAGCGTGGCGTGCCGAAGTTAACCGTGGCGTTTAAAAGGTAGCGTTTGTTTGAGCTTCCGAGCTGCTCTATGTTACGTTTGCCTAGTTCGGTGCCGTTCAGTTCAGTTCGCCGTTCATTCTCTCCCCCACCATTTGTCCCACAACAGACTGTGCAAGTTTTCAAGGTAATTATTTACATATGCACACATTATTATACATTGATCATGGCTATATACACTGCCCCAAATAAGGGCCGCACCCTTTTACTTACATGATATTGGGTAGGAGGTATGGACGCACACGTCGCGCACTGGGCAGTCCAACGTAGCTCCCGAGTGGAGAGCGAAGAGAGCGAGATCACTGCGGGACTCAGCTTATATACCGCGCCTCCGGCGGTTGGCATTTGCCTCGGGCGCGGCACGCAAGGCTAGTCCCGCAGGACAGAGCGCACAGAACATGGCAGGGCAGAACAGGACAGAGCAGAACAGTGCAGAGCAGAACGAGGAAGTAGATGGTGCCGCCGACTCGACCTAGTAACGGTCCGTCCGGCCGCCGGCCTGCCCTGATTGCTGCCCAGAGGGGTTGTTGTTGTTCCCCTCCAAGTGACAGGCGGCGCCGAACGGTGGGAGTCGGCCGGCCAGGTGATCGTAACAGGTAATGAAGAAGATGAGCTCGCAGGGGCGGTGCCAGGTGGCCCGGCTGGGTCCACCCGCGCCGGCGGAGGCACCTGGGTCTCATGGACTCTCCGCTGGTCGCGCTGCTGCGCCGCTCCGTGGTTTCGCCGCGCCGCGTCCTCCCCTGCGGATGTTTGCGCGGCCCAGCGCGGCCGCTGCCGCATTCCGCCCCCGGCCTCCGGCAATGCGGGGCGGAAGGGATGGTTCTACGCCCATCAGCTGGTGGGGTGACGATGCGGTCGCGTAGCGGTCCGCCGGGTCCGGCGGCAGCCACGGCCTGGCCGCGTTGGAGGGGAAAAGTTTCCCACATCCCTCCGATGAATATAGATGACAGAGCGATTCCGAACTCCGGGTAGATCTGTGGGTCATAGAGCACCTGTCAAATCCTGGACATGTTGATATTTCAACTGAATTGGGAGATCCAAAAGCTCAGTATAGCTAGCTCTGCCCCGGTACTGCTTCCTCTAGATCCTCAACTATGGTTTAATATTTCTTACTGCGTTACTGCGTTGCTGTCGCCTTGGTACTGCATGACATGCGTTACTTCCTCGTCATTTACAAAATAAATGGCCATTTGGAACCAATGTGGACTAGGATTTAAACTTGGTCGTGAGAGGAGCGGAATGGCGTCAAACAGTCGTGCCTCAGTAATAACTGGTTATGACTTTGCTTAAATTTATTCTTTTCTTGTGCCTTTGAGTGTGAGAGTAGCGCTCTCAGCTCTGCCGTATATTCGCATCCTTATCCCAAACTCGGACAACTAAACACAAAGTATCGGCTTCTTGCCTTGCCACGTTAACAAACGTTTCACTGGATTCTAGTCCTTAAGCATTGTACAACTTATATGTATATTAATGTAATTTTTGGGCGACTCCGTGACGTCCCATCACTGATGCCATTTTAGTGACAGCCGAGCATCTCTGTCCCGAGCGTAATTGACCGTCCCATTTGTTGGACTACACAAGACTGCCGGTGTGCAGGTGCCAGTACCATTGTGCTTGGACAGTTTGCCATGACTTTGTGACCCTTTTAGCCCGCTAATGGTGACCTTCCAGACAGTGATAGCTCACTCTGACGCGAACTCCTCCTATCTGCAATGGAGTCGACCCATGTTGAAGACGGAGACCACCGCTGTGGACGCCGATGGGTTTCACTGCTGTAGGGTCCCAAGAAGCGAGCAGCAGGTGTGCACTTTGTGCTGCCTGGGCTGTCTTTGCAACCTTTTGGCGCTTGGCTATCTGCCACTGCAAGTAGGTACTGCAACTAGAGCCGACGCTCCATACACCGGACAACTGTGAGTCCTGATATCGCGGGAGGCTGAGTTCGCTCAGAACATCGTTGCCCAATTCTCGTCATTTGTAACGGCCAGGGATGGACATTGCCGCAGAATTGGTCTAGTTGTTCAAATATGCTTGTTTCGATAGAGCTGTACTTTTATGACCGTTACCTGGCGTTCTAGTTAGTCTCGGCAGTTCAGCGTTCGGATGCAATTATTGGCCTTCTGGCAGCGCTCACTCTTATTCATTGCACTCCATTTAGACTGACTGAAAAAAAGACATTGACTTCGCCGGAAGACATAGGTATGCAGACGGTATTTGGTAAAATAAATGTGCTGTACCTCGGACAGGGTTAGGAACAAGTAGGCCACCGCGTCCTTTACATTCATTAACAACATCATAGTCCTCTAGGCAAAATGATTCAACACATTTAATCACATTTCTGTTACGGTAACTTTAGCAGCTAATGCACTGTACCCTTGCATCTGACCACTTGATTGGCCGATGTTGCAACGCTTGCATGTTTGGCAGTAAGCAATATTAAACCATCAATAACATTTTAGACACTTGCGACTTGCGAGCCCTACAGTCTGTTACCTACCTGCGTACTTGTTTCTCCGCTAACGATAGCCGTGCTGAAGGCACTGAAATCAATATCCACTGGAATGTCTGTTCGCCTTATAAACACATTTATACACTTGAAGCCATGTACCATCATACTGGGGCGCAAACTGATTGCAAAGCTATCCTTACTTTACTCCCAACTCAGTTTCCTCAGGGCAAGGGCATATTATAGGTCCTCAGGGACTATAACGGTCAGGGGTCTCCTATCCGCTGAGACCTCGCGGGCCCTGGGTCGGCCGTGCCGCCGCCTCCTCTCTTGGGGGACCTGTGGAGTCAGTTCGGTCACTACCACCTGTGACTCTGCGTCCGAGGAGGACGAATAGTCCTCCCGGAGCTGCGGCTCCTCCACCGCCTCCAGCCCGTTCTCATTCCGCTGCTGGCGTCTCCAGCAGCGGTCTCGCATCCTGACCAACGCGTGGTCTGGTAATGCTCTGGAAGAAACTGTCAATCTATGTTTTCCCATGGTCAGCGTTTCCCGTTCGCAGTTTCCGGGTTTCCGGTTCGGTCATTGTGCTGAAAGCACTAAATAAGAAACGAGTAGCGTTATGGACACAAGGCCTCTACCCCCGAACTAACCCATCTCTAGTCGGGTATTGACTCACACAGGACGATTGTTTATGCCCACTTCGCTCTGATGGGCTGCAGTCCCAATCAGGCGTGGAGCAGCGCTTCACCCCACACAACGTTTGGCCCGAAGCCGCGCTTGGCCTACCGCTCAGTTGATGGGCTTTTGAGGCGTGTACACTTTGCAATATGAGACGGCAGCCGGTCCCTCATAAACAATCGTCCCGGGTCACTGGTAGGGCAATCGCGACTTCGATAAGTGCGAATTCCATCGCTCACCTCAAAACTCGTTGCTTTCAGCACAATGCACGAATGGACCCGAGAAACCCAAGAGAAACCTCAGTGATGACGCGGAAAGCACCTGGGCATACACTGTCCTCAGAGGCACCCCTCAGCCCCACACTCAATTTGGCCACGCCCATCCTCCGTCCCTACACCAATCAGACAGAGCGGAGGGCAGGGCCTAATTGCCGCGGTACCGCCGCGAGCCGGCGCTGGCACCC